GAGTTTCCCCATTTTTATATCTTTGTGTCCACCAATTTAGTGACGACTCATGGGATTCGAACTTTGGTCACCGTGACCAAAGTAGATGGCTTATTCAACGCCTTAACCTACTAGGCCAATTCAGAACTCAAGGACAAGCATTTAATTTCTAATATTTATCTATCAGCTTGAATAACTTGTTATAAAAAAAAGTTTAAGTTCTTCAAGATGATAGATAAATATTAGAACTTAGACCTCATTCGCTGAGTTCTGGATTGGCCTAGTTGGTTAAGGCGCTCAATGAACCTTTACTTTGGTCGCGGTGACCAGTGTTCGAAACCAGTGGATTTAACTAAAAATAAACATGTGTCGTACAGAAAGGATGACGCAACGGTCGAGTATACGAAGCAGCTCGACGTCAAAATCGAGTATACGAAGACAGCTCGACTTGTAAGGATGAAAATCCGTCAAAATAGGCGAAAATGAGGAAAATCGAAGGGTCAGGCCTTGAAAAAGGGGAAACTTTAAAATCCGAAGTCGGATCATGTATGATCAAGCATGATCGTAGATAAATTCCTGACATTATGCTCGATTTATCTATGGCCAGTGGTCGGCCATGGATAAAAAAAAAATTGGCGTATTTTCGATCCGGCGCCAGCGCGCGCCCCAAAAATTTCTGGGTCGCTAGGAAATGATGACGTCACAAGCTAGTGACGTCATAATATTATATTTGTAGAAAATCTCCCACCGCTTCTACGCTACACCACTTTCTTTTTACCTCAAAACTTAGACCCCAAAGCATGTATACACGCAATTAGCATTTCTGTTCAATAATTTTATTATAGAGCACGGAAACAAAAAAATAAACAAGACTGAAAAAGAGTTGGCTTAACTACGCAGACCACTTGTAGCGATACCGAATAAATAATATCTGCCCAGATAATACAATATAATCGAAGTATATTAGGATTTTCCTGCAAAAAATCATACACAAAACACAAACAACGAACACAGAGGATTGGGAAAATTGAGAAATTGGCAAAACCTTTATGAAGGTTTAATACATGTAAATATACACGTGCCAGCGGGGGTAGCGTTTTGAATAAGGGTACAAAGAAAGAGGGAGGTACAAGTCTAAATTTAATGGCCACATTTTAAATAGGTCCGCTATTTCACAAAGGTGTTTCCAAATTTAGATATCGATAAAATTATTAGTGCTAATAGAACTGCGTTGCACCGATTTATCCGCTATTTCTGGATATTAATACAGATATATTCACGAAAATGGAGAAGTATGGCGCCATGCCTTGAAATTTGAGATGGCATAAGTAAACTTTGGATTAATTCAAGTTCAGGAAAAAAGGTTGCTGCAGAAAACCCAAAGACACAAGCCTAAAATAGTCGTTCTCAAACGTTGGGGCGCGCCGCACAAGTGGGCGTGGGTTATTTGAGGGGTGCCAGTTAATTATAAATATTTACTGATTTGACCTAATTTGGAATATTTACATTTCTTTATTGCTTGGGAGATTGCAGAGAGCTTACGTGCTATTTCTCATGTGTAGCTTATTGATAGCTAGGTATTCTAGAGGTGAGGTCGCGAAACTTGGCAAATTCTTGAGAGACGGGACCTAAAAAGTGTGAGAATCACCGACAATAATAAAAGACTGTCAAAAAAAAGACAATTCCTTGTCGATTAGTCTGGTTTGTAATGTCTTCTTTTACTTTTCAGCCCAAATCGTAACTGAAATAAAAAAAAAATAGATTCAACATAAGAACCTGATGTCTGCAGTACATTTCGCACTACCGCTAAGAAGCAAATTTTGATAACTCTATGCGGTATTTGAATTTCTGACTTGCATTTTTATTTTTAACAGTTAATAATTTTTATTTTTAACAGTTAATAATAGTAGCAAAAATTCAGAGTACCCATTCGACTTGAGATACAGTGATCGCAAAAATCAACGCGAGCTCAGACTACATAATTCGGGATAAAATGAGGGACCAATAAAATGATTGGGCCCAAAAAACCGCGAATACGCAAAATGAAATGTTTTTGGCGGGGCATTGCACAAACGATTCGAAAAGCTGACCAATGTTACTACATCTGGTCTTAACATTAACAACCATCGACTGAATCTGATGATTTGTGAATCAGGTTACAATTGCCAAGCGTACATGTACACGAGGTTATTAATTAAATGAAACGCAACTGGAGCAGTAAGAGCGTTTTCTAAGTTATATATACGTAGGTTTTTGCAACGATAAGATACCAGTTTAATCTTGATATCCACCACGTTGAAACCATTTCCTTCCAGCGCACTGGTTCTCAACCAGTGGGCCTTGGCTCACTGCTTGGCCACCGAGACATTTTTAGGCGAGCCACGAACCTATTGATATGGTTGAATATAGCGATTGTAGTAGCGATGAGCATGCTATTTTTGTTACAGGGTGTTCTGCTTATTATCATTTCTTGTAGTTTTTTTTATTGCATGAGAAAGGTAGCGATCCACAGAATTTTTGTCCAAAGAAAGTGGGCCATGGGAGAATATAGGCTGAGAACCACTGTTCTAGCGCAATTATAAAAAAAACTTACTCCAGCCAACAAACTGTGCTCTTCGATTCGCTCGTTGTTGCGTAATCCGGGCAGAACCTGCATGTTAAAACACCAGTTAGAACTACCGCTTCCGGTTCCTGGTTAGAAATAAAAGATATATAAATTTTTTTTCAATTTAAGTGAAAACACTTGAACAATTACGGATTAAAAAACAACCTGGTTCAGATATATATAGTGAAAACTGACTTCATAACAAAATTGAAATTGTAAAAGAGACTTGGTGGACACCCGTGTTACCTACTTGCACTATATGAATGTTCTGTCAGAGGAATATTATATGCTTCGGTAATTAAAGTAATGTCAGAACTTTAGAATTTTTATCGTAGGGCACTTCTCGTAAAATTAAGTGGAAACTCACTAGGGGTAAACTTTAGCCTCTTAGGTGTTAATCTTATTGTGCTATTTTAGAAGAACATCGATTGTTTTTTGGTTACGATTACAAAGAACTTCTTCCGACATAGTATGCGAACTCTACGATTATTAAGACTTCACAAGAACGGGTCTGGAAACCATGCCGACTCCCTGGGTAATCCACTAAGTGTGGTTACGATTACAAAGAACTTCTTCCGACCTAGTATGCGAACTCGATTATTGCGACATCACAAGAACGGGTCCAGAAACCATGCCGACTCCCTGGGTAATCCACTAAGTGTCGGTGTGAAATAAACTTTCAAATAGAGAATAAATTAGGCTTAGAAACAACGTTTCGCCGCTAAGTATGCCCACTTGAAAAATGGGTAATTGGCATATACCAGAGATTCTCAACCGGGGGCCATTTGTTCAACATGGAGATGACCATCTTTACGCTTTATTTTACAAGTCATAGCTATTCATAGAAGTGCACATATTGAAAATTGGGATAGACTTCACGACTAATGTTAGCTCGACAGCTCGACTAAGGGTTACTAAGATAAACTCACAAATATATAAGTGCGTTTAAATCGCAAAGGCCTCGCTTTTGAGCAAAACACACAGAAACTTTGCATAAAAATTGCATAAAAATTACTCTTATCTATCACAAGCTTCACAAGGTTTCAGTAACTAATTTCTCATCACAAGGCCCTGGAATAAAAGAAAAAAATTGGAAGTTAAATTGAATTACAAGGGCTTGAATCAAAACGACCGACTTAAATTTCTCACAGATTATGTATTGAATGGAACGTAACAAATTCCGAGAAGCATTCGGTTTTCACGAAATGGATCAAGATAGCCATCAAGTGTCTGATAGCGAAGTGGAAACTAAAAACAAACAAAAATCATTAAAAAACAACCAAACAGAAAAATCAAAGTGAAAACTTGGGCGGAGACTTCCGTGCGAGAAGATTGCTGGACTCCTCCCCGTGATTTGCGGTTCACGCAACTATTAGTCGCAAACGCTTTCGTCATCAAATTCATGCATCTGGAACTAATATTTGGGTAATTATTCCTACACTCGACATGGATTGGTAACCGGACGTAAGGCGTGGTTTTCATGTGATTAGGAAGTCTTTTTGGCTTTTCTATCCCCGGAATAAATATGAAAATACTATTTTGGTTATGCTCACTTCAACATGTTTTGAACCGTAAGATTCGCCGCTGCCTCGATTTACTCAAGCTCCTAATCAGGGCAGAACCTGTAGGATAAAATACAATTTAATGAAGTTCCAACCGAACTATTTTAGTTTTTTAGGAATAGTAGCTACTCATACATATCAAAGAGCTTTTTTATAGCTCCGGATGGACGTACTAGCGACTAGAGATCGAGCGGCGTATATTATATTGCGTATAGCAGGACTGAACATTTTTTTTCAAAATGGGGCCACATTGTAAATTTAAAATGCAGCCGGACTGGAGTGATCACAAAAACAAGCGCTGGGTATTTTCACAAAGTTGACCGCAGATAGCAGCTGGTAATATGGCCTATTTCATGTCATGGAACATCGCTAATAAAACATTGATTTTTATTACAATAATAATGTTTATGTATTATGTTTATGTATTATGTTTATGTATATTAGGTGTCTAAATCCAGAAATCTGCTCGCGGGACGGATGAAATGTTGCCACGGATGCGGCCCGCGAGCCGTAACCCTGTTATATGGATTTGAAAATTTCAACAAATAAGCGCTTTATGACTGTGCGAATAGGATGATCCGACTCTGAATAATCTCTGCCAGTTTCTCTCAATAATTATGAATAAATGATATAATTATGAAGAAATTATCATTATTATCATTAGTTTTAAGGAAAAGAACTTAAAATTATATATGACAAAAAGCTTACCTTGTTTATGTTCGGTACGCACAAAAAAGCCGCTTGCTTCGCATGTTTTTACCTGCATTGAATAACTTGAAAATTTTTGATGAAAATTCAGAAAACACAGCAAAAATATATCACTACAGAAAGAATGGCCTCTCATCATTTTCAAAAAGATGTTTTATTCCGTCTAAAATGCAGCAGAAAATCTTTCCCTCAGGAGTCTTCCAACGAATGCACTTAATGACTATTTCACATTCGGATAATTTCTGTAACACAAACAAAAGCATCGTATGCTCTTTATGTTCGTTATATTTTGTTTGTAAAAAGATTTTAAATGTTCGAAGTCGCCTAGGATACGGGCACCTACCAAGATTCAAAACGCAAAAATATAGTTTAAATAAGTTACCTACTTTTGTTATATTTTATTTATTGGAAGGCCTGTGCTTAAAAAAACGAGCAACAAGCATTGAATAGTTTTAGCACCTGTTTTAGACTTAGAATTTGGACAATACTAAAACACGTTGCTTGCAACGTGTAAGCCGAACGGTTTTAAATTTTTAAATTACCTTGGTTTCATCGGAGACTCCTCGGATAAGTCGTACGCTGCTTCACAAATACGTCACCGGCTTGCAGCGTGTACATTTAAGCTTCGCTTTCACTACATTTATATCTGCAACTAAAACGTAAACACAATTTTTAAAATAGTCATCTGAATATATATTTGAGTTATAAACTCAAATTTTATTTGATATAGACAAAACTTAATAATTTGGTTCAGGACACCTCAGCAAGAGACACACTTACCATGATTTGAAACGTCCAAGGTGCGCGAAGTGCTATCATGCTTCCCCAAAATATTTCTATTGATGAATAGATTCCACACTTTGTCAATTCCTGAAACAAAAACAAAGCATTCGAGAATTTCCGAAAAACAACAATATTAACGTGTTGATTTTAATTCTCCGCATATATCGGAAATAAGGAAAACTCAAAAGACCTAGCATTTTTGCTCTCGAGATCTGATTAAAAATAGTCGTAAATGGATACAAATTATTTTTTGACAGTAAGTTAACTAACCTTCTCTTTTGGGCACGACCTATTTGCTTTTCAGTCATGAGTTTTCCACGTTACTTATTTATATGCAAATTCGTAAATGTCAAACCACTGCAAATCAATATATATTCTAGTTGTAATGGTAGATCATCAATGCTAATCAAAGCCACCATTGGCATAAACCGAGACCGTACATAGTTTGTTCCAAGTTGCACTTGAAAGAGACGAATTCATTATTGTACGATTTCGGATTACACTGAACACATTTTAGGCGTTGATTCATAATTCAACAAATTCTGAAAATACAACACAATAAATGTTGGAATAGTTTTAGCGAGATCAATTCATAACGACTAAAATTGTACCTTGAGTTCTTTAATTGTGACATCAGATGCCAGTCGCCGTGAAAGTAGTAATTGATCATGATTTGCACGATGTATAGCAAAAAGCCTTCTGAAATTGTAAACAAAAATTAGCTAATCTAGCAAAATTGTGTTTATTATTAAATGATGGGACACTAAATAACTAAATTCACGATATTCGAAATACACACATGTAATATTGAATACAAAATTGAATACAATATTAAATACAGAGTATACACACATCGCAAAATGAACAGCGATATAGTAAACATGGAAAAAGTTGTAGTATAATAAAATAACATGCAAAAATTCAGATTTCGAAAGCATAAAAATAGGTTATGAAATAGCGTAAAACTAGCACAGAAGTAATATCAGCCGAGATCAATCTCTGATAATATATTCCTTACAAAGCTCCCGCCAGCGTTTTAGGATAACTGCAGCGGATAAATACCCATAAAAAAACTTTATAATCAACTACGGCTAAACCCAAGCTCAATCCGCGCAACAAAGCTCTACTATCACTCTGCCGACCTCCTCGACGCCCCTGATTCGAATGCTCGTCAGTCCCGGTTACCTTGGCCAACGTGTCGGGTTAAGAAGAAGGCAAATATAATAAAGAAATAACAAGAGAAGTCGTGTTTTTAAATTGGCGATCACCGATTGGTCAATAATACAAATCACGTGCTTTGATTGCGAAACAATCTGTCCCAAACTTCATTCCTCATTACGATTTGTTTTCGACGTTTATATAATAGCGGGTTGTTTACGAGGGTACCGGATCTAAATTCAATTTTAATCCGCCACCGTAATTTTGTAATGATATTCAAGCTCCTTAAAATAAATAGAGAATGGCACATTTAAACAATATTCGACATTTTTTTTTCTAAAGCAACAAAATTGTGTTATATATTTCTTTATATATTATATGTATATGTTACCCGAGGGGGAGAGGATAGCCGAAAAGGCGAACAACGGCATCTCGTCCGGTTATCAGTCCACGTTGGGCGCAGTGACAGTTAACCAATTATTCCAAATATGGGCAGTCTCCCCCGGGCAACACGTTGTATGGGTGAGTTTGGTGATTTAAATCAGGGGTGTGCAACCTTTTTCAAAGGAGGGCCATTACCAAGTAACTGGATGAAGCCGCGGGCCGCACCTAGAAACTCTACCTACAAAAGGCTCTAGATACGAAATATCCAATTTACGAAGATTTTTCTCGTAAAAATATTGCTTCGGCTAACGTAAGATTATCTACACGACAAAATGGAGTGCATATATCAAAAACATAAAAAATGCGTGTAGTTATATTTGTTTATTTCAGATTAATTCAATGTAGTTCTTGAAGAAGGAATGTCCAACTCGAATATCATGACCGTCGAATATCGTCTTTCATGTTTGGCGCACTTATCTTAGCTACGCCGTCCGCATTTTTATTTAAATCATTTAACAATTATTTCATTTCCACGCGGCTATAAATTATCTGCCACCACCAGTCTATTTTTCAAAACGAAGAAGAAAGGTCTTCACGACTAATTCACACCCAAACCACAATTTCTCGTCCGGCCCCTATTGGTTGAGCAATTGATGTAGTTCATGGAAGTCCATATATGGAATGATATATTACGAACACTATATCCAACCCCCGTGGGTCACGCCTATTCAAACAAGTTATGTTCACTAGCAATTAACGTTACCCATACCCAACGAACGGCCTACCAGACGACTAAGATATTTTATAGTGTCCCTTCGACTTTGGGATACATGCAGTATCGGTAAATACTAATTATGTAATTCCCAGGCTTATCCCTGGATATATTACAGTAATACTAAGTATCGGAAATATATTTCCCCCCCAAGACAACAAAATTCGAGGCATCTCCACCCTTCCTAAGATATTTGGGAAACGCCAATTTCCCGATATTTGGGAAACGCCAAAAAATTACGCGTGTCGTCTCCGAGTTCATTCCCATAGCCATGGCGCAAGTGTTTTATATGAACCTTTGTCTTTTTAAAACTGGTAGGACAGAGGGGTCTGAATATACTTACGCAGGATTTGAATGCAGACACTGAAATGCTTATTACACGAATATACGCCCCATATACGTACATAGTTAATTTCACTGTAAAATATTTCAAGATAAAGAGAAGTTACGAAACATTGGTAAACATGAAGTACGGGCGCCAGTAAGCAATAGCTAATGACGTCGAAGTTTGGGTACCACTGTATATAGAGCACAGCGCAATGGTTTGATAAGCTGGCTTTTTGCAGTATTTCAATTTTGCAATGTCGCAATATGTTCCCGACAAAGGAATAATAAAGATGAGGCGTCAACGATCACGTTTCCATGTTTGTAGTGTATTGACAAAGGAATCCAAATTTGATAATTTTCGTTATGATTATGTTACTATATCTGTATATGATGAGATATATTATAAAATACTAAAACTCACCTAAATTTTCAGTTAGTTCTTGTGGTTGTGAACAATCAAGCGCGATAAAGTAATAAGTCATGTCGAATCTTTCTCACGGCAGGTATGTTAGGAGACGATTGCCCTCGAGTTCAGAGTCTGCTACGTACCAATCATTTGATCATTCTTGTTCATAACAAAGGTACTCCTGGCTCCTGGGTAATATCTGAACCAAGATGGCGGACAACTTAGTTGGGGTGAAGATTCTTTAGTTGATCCCGTTTCCCAACTGAAGAATATCCCCTTCCCCCAACCCACCTACAGACCTAAGACGATAATACCAGTTGATACTTCATTTGACCTGGACAAATTATTTGGTAGGGTCAAATGGTCTCAGTTGGGGTGAAGATTCTACAGTTGGTCTAACTTTTGGGGGGAGATTCTTCAGTTGATCTATTATAAAACATGAATGTATAAATATAATCAAAGGGAGTTATTTTATTTGTCACACGAAACAAGAAAGTCTAACAAGTGCACATACAAAGAGTTCTTTTCAGCCGTCAGCAACACCACCATAAGAAAAACCAAATCGGTAAAGCTGTCTGATAAATCATGTCTCGTATTTCATTATGCATCTCAGTTATATATAATATGTGAGTTTGAACCCCAGCCCAGCTTTTGCCTTGAAATATAAAAGCACAAAAGAAACACTGCATATTTTTTTCAGGATCAACACTTTTCTACTGTATGGAAATTAGACCGGCATGATTGTGAGATAAACAAATGCGCGTTCGCCGGGTTAAGCAAGACAAGAGCAAAATTTTTTATTTTTTTTTATTTTATAGACGAGCGGGAGTTACGAAGTGTTGAGAGGTGCCAGGTATCATTGAAATATGTAAACCACTGTTACAAACCTTTAACATTCAGAAAACCCTGTAATAGTCGGGTTGAATCTTTGGGTATTTCGAAAACAGAGCATAGGATTGTAAATATATACCGGGATCTGATATATAATTTCGCCTACGATTCTGATTCCGTAAGCTGTTGAAGCGTATATTGTGATCTTTCTATTTATTTAACCAGCTTCATATTTACTTTTATTTTTTCTTATGTGGTAACAACATATCTATGCGATATTTTCTCATATCTGAGGTACCTATTAACACAAGTCAATATTATTTCTCAATTTCAAATGAAAAACCACACACACACACAAAGATATGCTCTTAATTACTATATTGAAAATATATTTATCTAAATACACCGATTCACCCCATGTAAAATTCACAAAACTGAAGATCATAACAAATTTCTAATTGCTAAACATACGAGCTTTAAATCAATGAAATATTTACTTTTACAATCATGTATTAGGTGCAAATAACGATCAAGTAAGTGGGTTAGAGGCATATACAAGCTTATTGTAAAGGTTTTATATAATCTAACATTGATTCTAGGAATATAGAGCAATGTAGAAATGTAGCAATACAAGAAATGTTATATGACACTAAATAGATTGGTGTTAAAGATCAAAGGTTAAAATTTAGAAAATGTAAATATGTAGCAATTCTAGAAATGATAAACTCATATGCATGTTGAAACTGGATAGGTTGCAAAGCTTTTAAAAATAGCAATTCAAATTGCATTCCCATCACATCACCAGTAATAAAGGTAGACAATTCCGAACCATAAAGATTTTGGTCTTTATGTAACAAATAGCTCCCAAAAATATATCCAGGGGGAGAAGAAAGGTGCCATTTGGCATTGGAATATACAATGTTTTGTCACTCCTTATTGAACTTATGTTTGGATAGTTATATCAATGTTACTAGAGTTAATCTTAAATGAGGCAAATCTAACTGAAATAGGTTTAGTAATGAATTAAACACCATCAGTTTACATAAAATATGATATATAACGAGAATAGCAGTTGATCAAAAAAAAATATTCAAGTATAAAAAACTAAAAATAATTAACTACAAATTGATTCAATATTTGACTGCGATAGCATAATGTACAGTAGAATTGTGATCAAGTACTTTGAAATGGAATGATAGTAGAGGTTGAAGACTTTTGCGCATAAAACTTAAAGTGCTTTCTGATAGATTTACTAACTTTGTCATGGAAGCATATTTCTAAGGATTCACAAATTTGCTTTGTATTACATTGGCCTTTGCATAACAAGAACATTACAAATATAAAAGAACAGGGAAGAAAAAATGCAGATTTGCCACCAATAAATAGCATTTTTCAATTGTTCCACATTTAACTCTCAGAAGTCAAAGTATATTTGTTGATGGAATAAAGTAAGATAAACAGTGATTCAATAACTCTTAGGCTTTTGATCTTACTGTGATAGACAAATAGAAGTATTCTAAATTATTAGGTATTTTAAAAATTGTATATAATTTAATTTCAAACTGATTCCAGAAAAAAAAGTTTACGTTGAAATTTTAGGTACCGGTAAATATTGAGTTACGCTAGTTACAAAGCAGGACAAACTTATATTACAGTCTGCTATATAAGTGCAGAAAAGAATTTAGTATGATTGGACATTTGAGTTTTATTATTGCAATGAATAAAATTTCTGATCACCATATGAAATTTAAGAAAATATTATTTTCCAATGATATGCCTAAAGATTGGCTGAAGTTTTATGTTTTAATTCAGAACTTATCATCTTTATATTCCTACTCAAACCATTTGACTGAACAAACCACGAATACCTTTAAACTTTTCTAACTGTCTGGATCCAGAAATACCACAATGTCAACTTCATATGCTTACTTTAACTTTCTAAATTATGTTTTATAACTATCTTAGGTATGGATCACACTTCTTCACATGCTTACTCTATCCTTCTGACCAAGTGATATATAGGGTGTCCATAGAGTCAATCCATATATTGTTTCGGCTCTCACAGATGTATTAAATTAATTAAAAATACTTGAACAATTACTGATTAAAACAAAACTTGGATGAGCTATATAGAAAACTGACTTCATAATAAATTGAAATTGCAAAGGCACTCTATGGACACCCTGTATACCTATCCTACACCAAAACAGCATCTCACTTCATATGCTTACTCTAACCATTTGCCTATAGTTTGATAACCATCCCAACCCCGAACATACTACGAATCCCACCCACTTTTACCATTTTCATAAAGTCTAATATCTGACCTAAAAAAAACTAACCGTGAATCCCACTTTATATGCTTATTCCGCAATTTTATATCTATCCTAATCCAGACTTTTATACTATTGATCACACTTCATGTCCAATTTAATGTGCTTACTCTAACCTTCTGACTAAAGTATTGTATCTATTTTATACCGGATACCATAAACCTCATTCCATATGCTCACTATACTACTTTTCCAAACTTTTATATCTTATTCCCATATTTACCACAAACAACTAACTTTCAAATAAATCAGGTGAGTGAATAATTGAAAAAAAAACATTTCAGCATTACTATATATAACTGATACATAAATATATATGTATGGAATAGGAAAGTATAAACAAAACAAAAAACGATTTGAAAAATTTAAATCTCAAGCTTTTCAGAAAGTAACACTGGGAAGAATATTTATAGGCTAATGTACTATTTACTATGATTCCTGCATAGGAAATTAACTTTATATTAAACAAGTGAATTTTAAAAGCAACTTTATAAATTTACTTATAATTGCATATTACAAATAATTGAAAACCTTAGTTATTTATAGAGATTGAAAATTCTTGTTCTTCGAAAAAGATTAACAGTAAGAGTGGCATGGTCATGTGAGCACAAGTAGGGGAAAGTCCCCCTATTTAGAAATTTTCTAAAATGAATTATAGATTTCTCTAATATCATTCAAGCAATGGATTTTATTAAATATATATAGTAATTTAATATTCGAGCAAAATGTTCTTGTTGCATAAGGGAGACTTTTTATACACCAAATTGAATAATGGCATAAAATTAATTCTTATTATCAGTGTCATAAAAAGTCTCTATACGCCAATCGAGACACGAGTTATTTGCATCTTAAGCAGTCTCTCAGAGTTGAGTTAAGTCCCGAAGGCGATAGTTAGAAGAGTCCGAGTAATTTTTTCTATAGAAAATACTTTGAGAGTCTCTGCTGAATGTTGACTCAAGTTGAGTTACTGGAATTACTAGAGCCTCCTCAAGGCTAATTATCATAATTTAAAATTGTTTTATTTCAAGACTGCAAAAATCATGATGGAAAAGGGCAGTGTAAGAGTTATAGGTGGACAATTGAAAAAATTGCATTACCACATACAATTCTTGTAAATACAATATATACATTTGTATTCTAAAAGTTGAAATACACCGGGTTCAAGTCATTTCATTTATAAGGCTCTAATCTCATAGAGGCGAGTCAACGACTCAAGCCTTCTAATACAGCTTATCATAATTTGAAATTGTTTTATTTCTAGACTGAAAAAATCATGTATTGACACGGGCACTGTAGATAGACAATTGAAAAAATTGCATTACTAAACGCTTGTGACGTAAAGGATGGCAAATCTGCATATTTTTACTCATGAATAAAGGCAATTGATTAGACAACATGAAAAAATCAGATTAGACAAAATAATACTAATTGAATAGCTCATTGTATTGCTTCATGATAACATAAGGACTTTTGCATCAACAAAAAAGGGCTCTGAAGGAAGGGAATAGGTATTGACCCGATCAAGGATTCAAGTAAAAGTAATTTTCATAAATTGTTTACACATTTGATATATAAAAGTGATACAATGAATATCTCTAAATATAAGGATTTAAAATAAATTTATACAAGATCAGACAGCCCCAGGTGTCCAGAAAAATCAATTACCAAATCATCTTAAATCATATATAAACCATACATAAACTGGGCACCAGTATATCTATGGCAAATATTTGATCATAGATGATCTGATAATTAATTATTCTTCAAATGATGTTAATTGAAAAAGAACCCCACAGCCAGTGGAAGGTTTATTTTTTTTGTGTTTTTATATATATATTTTTTTTTATATATTGTTAAAACTCTGCAAGAGCTCAACATTTTTATTTTTTTTTATTTTTTTGTCTTTTTTTATATTTTTATATTTTTTTTTTCATTTTTTTTTTTTTTGTGTTCTAAGGAAGGAAAAAAGTAAGTAATAATGTAACATGACCAAAAAGTCACTGGCTGAGGGGGAAAAAGCAATCTCGCTCGAGAAATAAGACAAAATGTCACAAATGACCAATACCACCACAACAGTGTATATATGGAAAATAGCCAAATATGACACAATAATCCTATAAGATGTTAGGTGCGAATTGTTTACGTCGAATTCAATCAAATTTCCCGGGCATATGAAATATATAACGAAAATATAAAAATTTGAATCATCAACGTATAAGTTTAACAAAATATTAAAAAAAATATTTTAAATTAATTCTTTGCATTACTATCAATACTTTCGAATTTTTTTTTAAACTTTGTGGGAATTTGGGAAACATAGTGTTTAAGAAATATATGTATTATAAAATTATAATTGCAGTGAATTTAAAAATAATATATAGAGTGGGCCAGTAGTAGGTTAACAGTTATTAACAATTTTTATCTACTGCTGGCGTAAGTACTTAAATTCATCTTTGTTTGCGAAGATATGAAGAAACAAAGAGTCCCAAAATAAGCAGGAAAGAACTTTATAAGGAGGGACCTTATTGAAAAAGTTCGGGGACCACTGGTATACAGCATAAATCTTATTGCATAGTATCTTTCAACTCATTTTTCGTTGATAACAATTTGTAGGATTATCAGTAAAACGTAGATATGATTGTATCGATGCCCAGGAAATTTGTCTTCATTAAATCACTGTACACGCCGAGGGTTGTCCCATCTTGTGTAAAGATGATCTACCAACTCCATGCACAGTCTGAAAAATATAAAGAAAAATGTCATAACCAGTGTTTATCAATAATTCATGATTCATGGCAAATGGGCCCCTGCTAAAAACCTGCTTTTGCCCTTGATGCATCACAGTCAAATCAATGTAGTCATTGTGACATAACTTAGAGGGCGCTTTTGACCATAGCCCCTTGAGAACCCTCGGGAATAAAGGGCCAAATCTAAAGGGCCCTCACATAAACGTTGTCCTAACAATGAGGACAATCAGGCATTGACTTGACTGAAATATTCTTCAGAAGACTCAATACGATTCTAGTCATCAAATTAGGGGAAATTGAATTCAAATAGAACTTGATTAACTTATAAAATTTTAATTTCAGGTGAACTTATTATATTAAGTAAAATATGAGTGATACTTACGATCTTTGAAGGTTTAGTTAACGTAAGTTTTGATTGCTTTTTCGATCTTTTTTCTGCAAACGGGACAATGTCTGATTGCCTGTGTACACTCCATGCAACAAATCATATGAGAACAAGGAATAAAAACCATGTCAGCGGGATTGCTGAAGCATATTTTACACATTCTCTCTTCTTCGATCTTGTCCAGTTGTTGCTATATAAAATGAAAACAAGTTAAGACTGGTTAGATCTGCTGTGCTGAACGCAAAGGTAGTTGTTCCTTTATAAAATAAAAATAATAAAAAACCAGTTGAACTGCCGTGCTGAGCGCCAAGGTGGTAGTTCATATATAAAATAAAAACAATATACTGGGTGTCCATAAAGTCCCTTCACAATTTAAATTTCTCTATATATCTCAACCAGGTTTGTTATTTTTTAATCAGTAATTGTTCAAGTATTTTGACTTCATTTAATACATCTGTGAAGGCCCAAAACAATATATGGTATCGATAAATTTCCTTTGCAATTTTAAAAAATTTCAAGATTTTATGGACACCCTATTGCATTTATTCAGGAAATAATTCTCAGAATGGCTTCTGGAACCAACGGTTTTGGACATCCATGTTTGGCGCATTGTTCCAAGTTTTGCGGGTTGTAATGACCCTCCCTTTTGAAGTGTAAAAAAACAAAAACATTTTCCTTTATTATACCACAGCAATTTTTGTATCTTGAAACGCTTTGTAGACCCTGAGGATTTCTGAAAAAGCACGTTCTCCAGCCGGACCCGCTAGAGGTTACAGTCTAACTTGGCAATTAGGAAATTTTAGAAATCCCCTTTGATATTTCCTGGCTTCCTACCCTAACATGCATTCCTAGAGTAAAAAGGAATAACTTAAATCAGGGGTGTGCAACCTTTTTTACAGGAGGGTCATTTACAAGTAACTGGGTGAAAACCGTGGTGATTACGCACCTTTATTTAAGATATGCCTTCATAGTAGCTGACGCATTTCTGAATTTATGAAGAAAACTGCTGTTCAAATTTATTGTCACACAGACTTTAAACGAATTCAGCGAGAAACACGTTTTTATAACATTGAGTATTTTACAACAGGATTTGCTAGCTAGTTTTGCTGGAATTGGAATTGGAAAGGATTGGAATTGCTCACATGTATCAGATCAACTAAACTAAAAACTTGTTTCGCGAGCACACCATTCATAATTGGCACTTCTCCGCAGGTGTGCACTTCGGCCGTTTTGGCCAGTTTGCACACCTCTGATTTAAATAGTAAAAACTGGTCTTACTTGAAGGGATTCTGAGTTTTCTTCTAAATTTACTGCCTGGGCGACTTCTTTCACTGTAAAAAAACAAAAATGGTTAGAAACAAAAATTCAAAATAAAACAAACTGATATCGTGGTCAACTATAATAAATTATACCAACTATTCCGAAACCTGACATAAACTGGTACCTAGATGAGTGGTCGTGGCTTCCCCTATCATTAAGCTGTCTTACTAGTTTTACCCCAACCCTAGAATAAATATAAAATCCTATCTTATATAACAACAACAACATACCTTGAGTCACAGCTGGACCGGCCTCAACGCTTCCATACATGTCTTCATCCATTGGTTCATCATTGTCATCAATCAAAGAAACCTGATATTTTCCTGATCCCGGGGAAGGCCCCAACGATGACATTGGAGTTGACATTGAACTGTAGACTGAAATATTGAAATATCTTTATTGTACAGGCGCATTAGACTCGATTGCGCCACAAAAAATAACTTTAGGAGATAGTATGGCGCTCCCGTAGTAGCCTATATGAACCAAGATGGCAGACACCGGAACATAGTATGTGTACCAGGTTAGGGTTAGGCCATAAGTTTATTCCAATTTTCTTTATTTTAGTTCTATTAAGAGTTCGGGGACTAGCCAAGTGACTACCGTAGTATTTGTATCTAAAATAATGGCCTAACCTAACCTTGTACACACACTACGTTCAGGTGTCCGCCATCTTGGTCCACATACTACAGAAGTACCGATAGTAGATAGCTTTTGCGAAGACTACATTGATATAAAATACATTTGACTGAGATCTTTTTTAACCTCTGACAGTACTGCATTTATTCTTTTGATTTTGTTTGCGACTTTTTTATCAATAAACTCGGCAAATAAAATACCTGATAGTAAATCATCAAAAATGAAACTATTTTTTGTTATTAAATAGCAGGGGGCACAGAGTGTTGAAAACCTTTGCAAAGTGGCCACAAATCTAACAAGTTGGAGGAACAAGGCTATTGATAGTAAATTGAAGTCTGTTAATACCTGAACTATAAGATGGAAAAGCCATCGAAGTTGCTCCACCAACGTTCATCACTGCAGGTATCTGGACAGCAGCCTGCATCTGGCTCTCCTCTTCTTTGATTTCTGCTTCTTTCTTCATGACATCATCAAGTAAGCTGGACATAGAATCATAAATATCCTCAGGATTTGCAACGTTTCCACTCTCGATTTTATCTTCAAGAAGAGCTGCAACCTGGAATTTCAAATGACATTTTGAATTTTTTTGCTTCTTTTTGCTCTGAACAAAGCCCTAGACAAGAATTTTTTGAACCAGTGCCTCATCCCTCTAAACGGCCACGGAGTAGGTCTTAGGAGGTCATTACATGCCAATTGTGATAACTACATTTAATTGAAAGTAAGCTGCAAGTGTTGACTGTAATGAATCTTTTCTTTGGCTCTTGTTTTTTTTATTTCATTCATAAACATTACAAACCAAATTACAGGTGGAAATGTGTTAAAAACAAAATAAGGTGTTTTATAGAAAGCGAGGGACCACAAGTCCTTGGAAGGGAGACACACGGCATGAAATTATAAGAACCACTGCTCTAAACACACACCCAATGACATATGAAAGATAAGCTGTATGAAAATACTTTGTGAGGTGGTGAGCTTGACCAGAGCACCATGCATTCAAGAATAACATCAATTTCTACTGCTAAAGAATAAATACCAAATCTGATACTTACGATTTTCTCATCGAAACCCATCAGTATGATATTTTTCACAAGATCTGATTTTTCCATGATGTTTTTTACTCTTTCTTTACGTTTTCGCATCTCAGCCTGATGATAAAACATAGTAATTAACATAAAATGTAGTTCCAGTGCACTAAACAAGCTAACCATTTAACGAGAATATCGCTAATTAAAGACATAATTCATCCAAAATCAATAGGCTTCTGATCCGAGATATGATGAATGCATATGCAACATTTGGAGCGGATTCATCCTCGCTTTCGTGAGATATCCCGTGTATCTAACAGACAAACAAATAAACAAACAAACAGACAAATACCTATCAACATACTTACCAATCTTAAGATAGGTAATTAACTAGGATATGTGCACTCCACATGTCATAGGAATCCATTGTGTGGAGGCAGTAAAGCAAAGTATTCTAACAGTAAACGCCCGGTTACGTATAATACGCTATTATCCATTTTTTGTGTGTTACAGTGGATTTTCACCACTTTCGAGTAAATGGTTTCAATTTGAGAAATTTTGATGAAAAGGGTAAATAAGTTTTACAAATATTCTCATGCATTATATATATGTTCCATAGAAATCAATCCCAGATTATATACATCCCTCGAAATCTATCCCTCTCATCTATCCCTCGAAAGTGCTGCGAAATCTCATGGAGACGTAATGGGCAGTTTAGTGGTTACTCATGAATGTACTCAGTGGCGAGAATCATTTCTTCTTGAGTGAGCACTTGGGACCTCACTCTAGTAAAGTACAAAAAAAAGGAAAAAATGAATAAATTTTCGTGAATTTTTTTAGTCATCTCTGTACCTGTGGATCAATGATCTCTGGTGTCGGTTCAGGTTGTTGGGCTCTCGGACCACTAGGTGGAATATCAACATTTCGACTTGCTTCTCCGGTCCCAGCGGCGTTGCCGGGGTCAACGGTAGCTCCATCTTGTTTTGCGATGATCGGACGTGCAAGGTGAGGGTTCATTGTTAAATGCCGATACACAAAATGTTGTCCTTTTACTTGCAATAAAAACTGACAGGTTGGAAACCATTTTGCATGTTCGATCCACGGCATATCATCGTATTCCCAATTCTGGAGACCGCCGTTACAATACCAACATTTAACGCGGTCTCGTTCTCCTGAAAAATATGTTTCAAATTTGTAGGATCCCAAAAAAATGTTCAGTTATATAAAGTAAAAACATAAATGCATCAGAAGCTTGATGGTTACCCTCACACAAGATTGGAATCAGTCTTATTGAAAGTGATACATTGATATAACAACAAAATTACCTAGAAAAAAGAATCCAGCTTGTGATATTTCTGCAGGAGTTGCAGCTGTTCTTCCCACCGGCCATCGACGATCAAAAGTATCTTGTCTTGCAACCTCATTTCTCATGTGTGGATTGGATGGAAATCTGCATGGATAATCTCTCGCACGATCTGCAGGTGGGTCGGGAAACTCATTTACTTTGTAATTACGTTGTTCGGTTCCAAGAACCATTTTACAATTGGGAAAATGAGATCGGTGTTCTGCCTGTAAAACACATATTTTTTAAAAAAATCTTTCAAATCGTTAAAATGGATCATGTGAAGTGCTGGCTGGTTGATGCATGCTACTACTGTGCATTATAGAACTCTCGCAATTGAACATTCCAACAACTTGACTTGTATTGTATAATGTATACCAAGGGTGTGCAACCTTCAATACATGAGGGCCAGATACAAATAACTGGGTGAAACCGTGCTTCGCCAAAGCTAGCTGTTAGGGCATTGTAACGTCATGGGCACGTATAAAACAAAAGTAGATACAATTGGACTCGGATATAGGCTTGGTGACTCGCACGTACAAGATTAAACTGAATTGAAAACATGTTACGCGGGCTGCACAAATTTTCTTTGTGGGCCGCGTTTGGCCTGCGGGAACCAATCATATTTACAACTCAATTTTGAATTTGTAACAGGAGGTTAAAAACAGACAAAGATGATGTATTGCTTCGAGATTATAAATCACTTGAACTGCACTCACCATTGCGTCATCCTCAAGTGTCCAATTTCTCAAAACTCCTCCGCATGAGAAGCATTGAGTTCTGTCCATGTCACCAAGATAGAAGAATCCTGTTCTTGCTAGAGCAGCCGGTGACACACTCGGGCGACCAACGGGCCATCGTGCAAATGATGCAAGTCTGAAAACAAAGTTTCTTTACTAAAAAAAAGCTGATATATAGTGGAATACTTGGTTAAAATTATGAAAGAACATAGGAAGACTATGCAGGACAGCAAATTCTGATCTGAAAATTATAAAAATAGTACATCATGCATGTCTGGTGCTGTTTTGGGGTGCTTTCCTATATGTATATATTTTTTAATTTGTCATTGCTATTGTAATGTAACCTAATGTCTAATGAACCCATAACATAAGCAAACAGAACAAAAGCCTCGATGACCTTCATCATCCTTGTCGACTGAATCCCCACACATAATATTTCCATGAAATAATATCATATTATGGCAATTTTTGTTTTCATTATGTTAATGTTGTTCGTGAAAAATCAATCTTTCTCTCCCTCACCTGTCAAGTTCTCTGTTCAAATGTAAATTAGTTAAAAATCTTCTGTGATCAGACGAAATCACATTTGCCATTCTCCATCTTCTTGGTTGGGATGAATTACCGCCATTTCCAATATTTTGAAGTCCTGGACCGGTTTGTATTCTTATTGTATTATTAGGGCCAATTTCAAATGTGCCTCCTGAAAATAAGATTTTTACCATATGTACTTTGAAAATCGAAAATATTAAATTTGCATTTTCTTGAAGATTCAAAAATTTGTGGGCCAAGTGGGTGAAACGCTGGAATTGGGAGAATAATTAGGTGCTGTGGACAGAGGCACTTTGAGTAGCAATTGAGTAGAAAGCTATTACAGGTAAAAAGGACAGAACCATTATGGTTCACGCTATACCCAAGTCCATACATCTGAAATGAATACCTGGCTAAATAGTCATATACCCTACATGCATTGGTAACCGGACGAGTGGCCATGGTGCACTATATGAATGAGCAGTGTTATCAGTTTTCCTCTCCCCCAGGATAAATATAAAATCCTATACTACCAAATCCTAACCCAATTTTCTACAGAGCTGTGAGAGTATTTTATAGTTTTATGAGTATATTTATATAACACAGTTTCACAGTATTGATCTTCTTTTGCGAAAGAATGCATGATATACACTTTCTATAAATAGCACTTTTGCAAAACTGTCTCAACTGTCCAACTAGGAAGCATATCAAATAAATGAGATACTGTATTGATTGAGAAACTCCCATAAGAGATTTATTGCTCTAGGCTTTAATATCCCCTTTAATGAGACTTAACTCATGGTTTACTAATAGGGGAAACAAAGTTGGCTTTAAGTCTGGCGTGTTAGAAACACACTTGCCATCATGCATTTGAAACAAATATCTGGCTAGCTAATCCCATTCCTGACATGGACTGGTTACTGGACAAAAGGTCGTGGTCCGCATATGATTAAATAATTTTATCATCTTTTGTCTCCCAGGGAAAAATGTGAAAAGTCCTGTCGTACCTGTTTGTCGTACTCTCTCTGGCAAATCAGCAGGATAGTGGACAGTTCTTAGAACATTTCCTGTTCTTTGATCTATTTGTTGCAAAACTTCTTCCTAAAATTTTATGAAAGTTTAATCATTTTATCATATTTAAATAAAAAATACGAACATGAAACTGTATAAGGGACATCATGTAAGCATATTGATTAACATAACTGGCTGTGGAGTTGGGAAAATATACATTTGCCTTTGATTTGAATTCTGATTCTGAAATACTTCCTGTTTATGAGATGTGAAACTCAGAACCTAATAAAACATTTCATATTCTATCAAACTTGTACATTTGTGAGGGAAAACAGAATCATAGAAACCATAATAAAATGATATTTTTGATCAAAATAAAAAGTCACGGGGGATGTTATTAAAAAAAATATTACCGTACCGGGTAGGTGATTTTAAAAAAGAGGAACAATATGAGGTTTGCAAAAAACAGATTTATCTGATCGAAAACATAAACCACTCTGAAACCAAATAATAGTTCCCTATTCCATTGTTGTACAATAGCAACAATATGAGAATAATAGAAAGAATTCACCTTTTAAATAAGTAGAAAGCCAGGGTTTAAATAGAAAATATTTTGAGTACAAAATATACTACAAAAAACTAGAAACTAAATTGCACCATAAATCTGGAAAAGGGGAACTAATTAGCATAATAGAGAACCTTAGAACCAAGAATAGGCGGTATCTCTGCAGGGTATTCTATTTAAAGAAATGCTTTTAATTGCTTACAATGATTGATAGTTCATTTCAAATTATAAGCTCCCACTAAGCGGGGGAAATTCTTTTCAATTGCACCATCTTGTTTTGTTTGTTTCGTTCATATGATATTGGTTATTTATACAATACACTTGTGTGTTTTTGGCCATAATGAATACCTCCTCTGAGAAATGGGAGCTCCAGAAGTATGTGTACCAATATGGAGGTAACTAATTTTATTCACCTGCTTTACATTAAGTTGTGTAAAGAGACAGAAAACTATGGGCAGGGGTATATTCACTCGGCTAACACAGGCAGTCCCGAACTCGTAATACAACTAAAGTAAGGAAAATCGGAAGGAAATTATGTCATAACTCTGAACCTGGTACAAATACTACATAACTGTGCATACATAATGTGGAATGTAACCAAACGCTTTTCAATGGTTTTGGAAATGAAACCTAATGAACACCTGGGAACGCTCAATGGAATTTATTTAGGTTGATTGGAATGCCACAAAATGTACCAGTGTGTAAATATAATAAAATAAAAATGTCAAATTTCAAATAAAAACCATAAATAGGATTAGGTAACATAAAAACTTACAGTTTCAAAATAGTAATCCATGATTTTGAATCGTAATTTCCAAGTTTTTTATAATTGAAATCGAAAAACAAAATGCTTTTACACTTATACATTGAAACTTTTTCTATTAATTTTTTTTGATGTTCTAACAAAAAAATGCTAACTGCCTACTGTTTAAAATTCTCTTAACACTAAGAAAATAATATTCATGCTTTATATATTTAAGTGAAAATTAAAAAAAAAGGTTCAATAGCATATATTAATTGTGGGAATTTCCCTAAAAATACACTATAACGCAACCAGCCTTTTCATTAAATTGAACGATGGAAAGTAAAAATGGAATAATGTAAATAGAGAAATTGGTTTCAGTTAGATTGATTGCCTGAAAAACCAGTCTTATAAAAAACGTCTTCTCAATTAAGGTACTACTGTAATTAAATGGTAAAACTACTAAACATAAAATAGGTTTTTGAGATAGAAAACTGACGTTCCCTATTTTTTTTATATTTCTATAATTTTAAAATGTCTAACTAATATTGTAATGCTAGAGGGGTTGTTTATACTGTAGGTAAATGGAATTCATCTTTAATTAAAAGCATGTCTGTAAAACTGAGTCCAATGAAAAAATTCCTGTTTTGCAATGTTACATCACTCTCTATTTTATTGCTAAATGAATACCACCACAGAATAATATACTTTGTTCCTTATAAACCAAACAATAGTTTAAATGGGATTTTTCACCAGGGGATTACCTATTAGAACATATAAGTAAATGCGCAACAAAAATTTGTCGTCATTTGATATATATAATATATATTCCCGATATATCTTAACCAGGTTTGTTTCACTTTGATTAAGTTTTTTAATTCGATTAATGATATATCCATAGCAGCTATCTTTGCAATTTTAAATTTTTTCCGAACACAGTGTATATTTTCAGTTTTGACACATACCTGTTGTCTGGATGAGCTTGCTTGTGCATTGCTCCGATTGAATAAACTTTTTATTGGGATGTTGCCGCTGTCATGTCCTCTTATAAACAGACAATCATTTCTGAAATTTTGTAAGAATAAGAAATGAACGAAACTTTACGTACAATCAATTTATAGAACGTGGATGTTCCCTAATCCCCATATTATACACTTCATTATATATTTCCCTAATAATAACCAATCAATAATATAATGACCAAAATAAAAATAAAAAGTTAGATATAATTATTGGGGCAACACATTGATGTCCCCTAAGCTTCAACTTCCTTGTTTATTTCCATAGGAGTTACCAATCAGGAATAAGTTATCCACAATATAATAATTGCAATTAGCTAATCACTCAGATACCTTTTTCTCTCAGAAAGATTTCTCATTTTGAGCAAACTAGTGGTCATATTGACCACCCTTCGAGAGTTCAGCAAATATTCAAGTCAAATTAATCAATCAATTAATTAATCAATGATGCAAATGGCAAACTTTTTCCTAAGGCTTAGCACAACTTGCCAACCATATAATAACATCTAAATTCAAGTTAAACTTACTTATGCCATCTTATATCCGAAGGACTGTCTATATCATTCCATCGTTCTACAGTTCGTGCGCAGGAGAAGCATTTTACACGATCGAAAAATCCGGTGAAATAAAATCCTGCTTTTGCCAGAGATTTTCTGGTTGTTGGAGAAGAAATTGGATAATGCTCATATGTTGATAAACGATATTGTTCAAGTCTGCTGTCACCTAAATATTAATTTTGTAAGACTGGTTTATCCTTGAGAAGAATCAGAAAATAGTATGGGCTTCTGCTGTACCATTGCGGCAATTTACAACACGATACAATGAAACGTTAATGCATGGTGGACATGCCGCCTAATAGTGTCCCGCTTTATTTTACTATATATTTTATATTCACTGAGTGAGTCTTGTAAATAACTTTTGTGCAATTTTGTTCAACATGCAAAATTTCTGGAATTGTCCCGTAGTGTCACTTGGAATAGCCCGTTTGTTCTAGATGTACGGATTTTCGGAATATGTCATAATTTAACCCAAATTCCCATACCTGGTGGAATATAGATGCTTTGTTGTCCTGGAGGATCTCTTATATCATCAGATACAGCACCATCATTCTCAATATCACTAAAACAGTTCTGTGAACTTACGGGAGAATGACGACCACAACTTGAACTGGGAGAGTGATAGCTGTAAATTAAAAGCGCAGAAATTCAAAACACAGACGGAGACAATTTTTCCAAGTAAACACAGTATTAAAAATATCAAAATTGGTTGCCAACATTACTTTTAACTATTAGTAGGCCTACTTGTGTTTCAGACTGAAACTTTCAGTACGTATGCTGCTGCAAAAAATCAGTAATTAAAATGATCACACAATATTAGTCCAATACTTGTGTCAATAACAAAAATTTTGTCAAATGACAATGACCCAAAAATTCATTAGCTTCTTCTCTTAAATAACAAAATGTTACATGTTGAAATACTGAAATCAAGACTTGATCTTACTTTCCCAGTTCATGATGTGGCATCAAAGTTTTACTTAAAAATAAAAATAAGAAAAGCAGTCTGGAAGACTCTCGAAAACTTGATAATACAGAGAATTTTAATAAATGTGAGACGCCATGCTCGCTCATCTATTTCTATTGAAACTGTCTGAAAAAAAATTTGGGGCAAAGAATCCTGTATATTAGAGGAGAGAAAAGAGGACAACGGATAATTTATGGACTTTGGACCATGGACTTTGATTAGTTTATCAGTCTAAGATTGGTTAGTCAGTTATTAAAATAAGTTATGTGAGTAGAAGTATGACAATTTTATTTGAAAAATTAAGCCTGAAAAAGCATTGATACAAAATTCGCCAAATTCCAGACAAACTTTGAACTTCTTGAAAAATTTATGTAGTATTGTAAAGTTAACAAATACATAAAACTGGTTTTCATTCAAACTGACTTAAATTTCACTGAATACAAGACTAACGAAAAGTCATCATTTTCTTACTAACAATATAAGCTTATCGTTTCATAGAGCAACTAGACTTTCTAAACAGAGAAGTGTATAGTATAACAATAGCCGAGGAAGTTCCAACTAAATGGGCATTGTGCAATCTGAGTTCCCAATTTATACCAATTCCACTTCGACAAACTTTGGGGATATTATCAGTACTTTTAGACTAGGGTAAATGATTCGAGTTGCACATGAGCAATATGATATTACAACACCTCATTTTCTTTGTGTCAGTATACACCAGAACACAAAGGTCAGATCAAACATATCGCAATGCAATGTTAACATTAACAATAAGATTAAAGTTCATTTAAGTACACTAAAGTAGGTTACGACATAATCAGATGTTGTTTCAATTATTTATTCTATAAACTTCTATAAGTACTGGTAAGTGTTCTACAATTTTCAAACTACTAACATGTTGGTTTTCTCTAGGTCTGTCCGTTATGAAATTTGCTAGGAAAAATCCGAAATGTTTTATTCCCGCTTGTATCGCGCTAACAAAATTAAATTTAAATACTACTTTTATTTTGTAACAGCTGAAAAAAGACGTGTATTTACTGCAACATTATGTCCCCCTGATTTCGTTTAGCGCCACTCGAGTGGAAGCCTGACAAACCCAAACAAAATAAATATATATTTTAGGATGAGAAACACAATTGTCAATTAACATTGCCGGCCGATGAACCAACTCATTCAGTAATAGTTCTCGTCAAATGTACACGAAACAAATGTACACAAAATATTTCATTTCAAGACTATAATTTGTAATTGGATGAGATGCCGTGGCTCATTGCAAAATTGAATCATCCTTTTGACCTTCTTCTACATAGGATATATACCGAACTACGTGAAACAATCACTTTATCTTTTATTTAAATTAATGCACTTAAGCGTGAGACCGACCTCCTGTTGGTACCTTAGCGTGTGGTCTAACGCTGTATTATCACTGCCTCATGACTGTCTCACATTTCCATGCATTTATTCTAGTGATAAACACTTCATTTATTGCACCTGGGTAGGCTACATATGGCGGAGACTTCACGCTGAAGGAACACTGCTCTCTCTCTGTCTTTACACACAGACATCAAAATAATATATTGGCATATTACTTCAAGCAAAGCACTTAATTAAAGCCTGTTTCATATAAAAACAGATGCTCACGTGCCTGTTAAGGGCTCGTTCAGTTGCCATAGTTCTGGCATTTGAATTCATTAAATTGTGAGTTGCAGAAACTGCAGGTTCCCTGCATTCCAGGCTGGGCCAAGCCCCTGAAGAAAAACATTTGATAGAGCTATCAAAATACTGCCAGGCTCACTAAATGACAGTGACAAACTTTATTACTAACCGCTCAAAGTGAAATCAATATCAATCAGTAATCAGTAATTTATATTTTCACCTGAAAATTGTTTTATAATATTTTTAATGCTTTATGGTACCCAAGCACTCCCCAACACAGAGTGTAATGAAGCGTAGAATGCAGCATCCACAACTACTGCTTAGAATATTACTATTCTGTAATCACTCGCTTCATTGCTTTTCAAGGAAAACAAAAAAACTAGCGTGAATAGATAAAACCAAAATTGAAAAAAAATACCTATGATACGCGAAGCGGCCTCCATGTATTTTCTCTTCTTGATGTCCAAAGTTGTGACAAATTTTATAGCAAGTTAAGATGTGTTAATTTATTTTTCTCTTTCTAAAGAATAGACAAAAAATATTGTTGGCTATTGAGTCTGGTGACTAGATAAACTGCTACAGTATTCAGTAAGTGTGCCTCAACTCTCTCCACTAGTTCATTAAAAAGGTTACTGCAGTACTGACAGTTCTCAAAATTACCTGCTTGTCTTTGTCCATAGATTGGTTATTTATCTACTAGGTTAGTGTTATACTAAACATACTCGGTGTCCATAAGTCGTTAGCAATTTCAATTTTGTTATGAGGTCAGTTCTCAATATATCTTAACCATGTTTGTTGTTTTTTTAAACTGTAATTATTGAAGTATTTCTACTTCATTTAATATATCTGTGAGGGCCAAGAATATAGGGTATGATAAATTCCCTTTGCAATTTTTGAAAACTTCAAGAGACCCTGTACATTATATACATACATTACACACTGACAAATATACAAATTACCCCATAATTTTTACCCCTAATTTTTTATTTTATGCAGATTTATGTATTTTTTTTATCGGAAATAATGGAATATTGGATGTTTCATTTTAAAAATACAGTTTCAGAATAGGTTCAGAACAGAGTAGTAAATTAATTTTTTAATTTTGGCTTTTGCTAGCTCAATAATATATAACATTTCTGACAAGTTACAAACAAATCTTCACGAATTTGTGATCTAACATACTAAGACTATAATAACCTGCTAAGTAATGCCACTCAATAATATATTGAAGTAAACCTTAACCTTCATTTTTTTCACGAAATACCTGAGACTAATATATATAACATGGCAATGCTAGTAAATGTGATTAGATGATAAGGAAAATAACTGACTTACAGGGCATGAAATATATTACTGTGCTCACAATATCATAGTTTTAAAACAAGTCAAGCTGCTTTCATCCTGGCACAAAAATTTAAATAATAATTGGAGCATACAACACAATATTTATCACATTCTGAAGTACACACAAGTTGACACAACGTGATAAACAACACGTTAAACAAACGAAAAGAACAATCAAGCATGGTCTAGTACATTCAGACAACCGACGTCAATGATAAAAGACGATCTATTAAATGACGCACACGGTTTTCTGCTCGTCAACAACTTAAAAAGGGTAAATACCTCAACTACCCCTTCTTGGTATTAGTTTTACTTTTGCTGAGGTGTAATTTGATATCTCTTCTTCAGTTCAATTTGAATTTTTTCTTGACAAAAAAGCTGTTCCCAAATCCACTATTTCAAATAATTCCATATTATAATTATGACCACACGGTGCAGTATTGAGCAATAAAAATACCAAAATACGAAAACATTTACCGGAAACTAGAATTACTTAACACAATCCCTCAGGGAGAAACCCATGGTCTCACCCATGGAATTTTAAACTAAAACTTATTTAGAATTCAATATTTTGAAAACAAGTTATTGCGCAATTTTGCAAGTTATTGTGCAATTGTGTGATTGTTTGTGCAAATAAAACTGTAACTTTATTGATTCCTAAATCTGTTTACTTCAACGGACATAAAAGGTAAACTAGTCAAAAAGTACACTGAAATTTTTTTTTATATTTAACATTGCTGTGACGGAGTTTTATTATTAAAAATGAGATCGATAAACAAGTGTTACTTGGTACTTGGTACTGTTTTCTACAAGTAAATCTTAGGTTTGAACCACATTTCCCAACTGGGGGCCATGCTTCCATAAAAATGAATTTTGTTTTTGTTGCAGAAAAAATTGTGTTTGGTATAGTTCCACTAATATTGTTCGAATATTTAATAAGTTTGTAATTGATATATATGAACATAGCTGAGTATCCTTTCAAGATAGAGCAAATAACAGGAACATTATTTTTACGAATAGTAAGGGAAAAAAAAAGAGTTCCACAATTGAAAAGAATTGGAAACACTGGCTTAGAATAAGTGTGATTTGGGTACATAGAAGTAAATTTTTAGAAAATGGGACAAATATTTTGCAACACACTTAAATTAAGTTTTTGACTAAACCAATGAGTTAAGTGATTGCATCGTCTTTCTATTATTCAAGAAACTTACTAACTTACTTATCATAATTTAACTAACGAAAACAAATCCAAAGAAAAAATATCAAAAAATTAAGGGCGCAATAACGGGAGAGTACCTTGTTCAGTTCAAGGCATACTTCTCTTTATTCACGTTGTCTCATCAATATTATTTTATTAACCTAGCGAACACGTCAAACTGCAGACAAACAAACAAACAATTTAAGTTTTGTGGTCAATTTTTTCAACATGACAAAGGCTATCAAGTACACAATTGGTAAATATTCACAAGTTTCGCAATACACAACTTCAAACTCTTTTGTTGAAAATATGGCACAATAGTTCTCATAAATTCCACTTGATGTTGCTAGTGGGTCGCGAGAGCAATACTATATGAGAGATAGTTTCACATAATGCCTTTCTTTTTTCCACTATTAGTAAACTTTCCACACTTTTGAATCATATTTTGATGTCCCAATGGCATGTCATCATATTTAAATAAATATGTAAAAAGAAATGGGGTCTCTAGGCAACAAAAAAAAACAACTTGAAATTTCATTTCTTGAAAATATTTAAAGAATAGATATAAGAATAATAATAAAAAAAATTAGATTACAATTAGAAAAAAAAGGCAAAAAATAAACAAACAATACAGCTTTCATACTGAGACTGAATCTACCATCAATGAGATCATTTGTAACCAAATACTGTATTGGTAGGGTGACAATGGCAGAGGCTAAAATAAAGGCATAAAGAAGGATTTAAATTCTGATGCGTTTTTCTTCAGAAGTAGAAGGAATTTATTGATACACAGGTTATTTATCACTCGATATGGGGGACCTTGTATTTGATTGTCATATAGTTTGGCAGAAAAGATTTCTATGGGATGGTTATTTACACCCCTTATAAACTCAAGAGGTCTCTAGTCAATTATTAATATGGAAAGGACCCCTATGTTTCGGGGGAGGGGGGGGGATTGCTGATTTGTAAGATTTTTTTAAGTAATAGTTTTTTAGAATTTTTAGGTGAGTGAACACGTACCACTTCTTACCACTTTGGTTTTGTTTACTCTCCTGATTTCATATCAGTTTTTATTTTATTTGTTTTTATCCATCATTTTATTGTTATGCTGATTATGGAGTTGAAACAAACTTATAACTTATACTTCATGTATGAGGTACATGCACCTTCACACGAAACCTGGCTCAAGACAAGCAGTTGATAATATTGAGAAAATTTTAAGTTCATAGAAAACTTCAGATAATTTGTTCACTCAGAACAAGCCTTCAGTTACGGTAACCATTGATTTGTAGGAAAGTCAGTAATACAGGTTTTAACATTGCTTTTTCCTTATTTTCTACAATTAAATTAAATTGAGCTTATTTTTAGTCTGACCATTAACTCGGAATAACATAGCACAAAATGACAAATTTTAACGTGAAAATAATCCAACTTACTTCTAAAATTTTATATCAAATAAAACTAATTTCAAAATGTATTTAAATATTTAAAAGATTTTGATGACCTAGGCCCTAGGGATAACCAGGTATGATATGTCAAAACAATTTTGCCCAAGGTAAGGTCACTGGCAACCAAGAAATAGCTATGTAATTCAAATTATGGTGCTAAGAATGAAGCGTTTGAGCTAGTGGACAAATCTAAGTAATTGCAAGTTTTGTAGTGATGATAATAAACAAGGCGTTCATAAAAATTAAAAAAAATTAAATTGCAGAGAAATTTATCTATAACATATATAGTTTTATAGCATCTGGAGGTGTATAAAATAAACATCACTGAAAAAAAAACAGGTTGAGATATATTGAGAAGTGGCTTTATAACATAACTGAAATTAGACTTTACCAGTTGTTGCAAGGTAGATTATAACTAACAGGGTGAATGACCCCCATATAAACAACAACTGGCGCAGGTTGGCATTAACGTCAGAATGACAACTCATCAATAATAAATTACACCTCAATTATTCATAGCTCATATCCCATGAAAAAAGTCAGGGGAAAAACCCTTGTGATCTACCAGAAAAAAGAGTTACCACAGAAGTGTGATTCTGCCATCCTTATATAGAATGATGTAACAAATCTAACTGAAATCCCAGTGGATTTAGTTTGTATGATATAGACAGATGGGAATAACAAATGGAATAGGCCCGATGTCTATACTAGCTTATATAGATCAGGGATGATACAGACACTCAGGCCATTCCATAATTTGACAAAGTTGCCCTAGGCAAGTGGTTCCCAAAGAGTATGATGAAAATAAACTGAATTGTGTTTAACATGAATAATATATCATTGAATATGTTATGAAGAATTTTTATTCCTGATCATTTGGCAACAAAAAGTTTCAGAAAACAAATAAAACGACCATAATAACCTTCAAGTTCATCCATAACACTCAACAATATTAACAAATTCTTTATCTTAAACTACCAGAAATTTAAATAAGATTGTTTAGTTTTACTCCCCCATCAGCTCAAAGATAATTTGGTTCAATAATTGTGATCAGAGGAAATTTGAAAGAAAGTAATTTATTTCTAGTGGTTGAAATCCACTTCTAAGTAACAAAAATTTGAAATTTATTGGTCTGTTACTTGGCAGAGAAAACTGATTTTCTCAATAACAGTGCCAACTGCCAACATTAAAAACCCGAACAACATCAATAATTTACAAAAATGGGTACTACCGTAGTGTGTGTTAGGTTAGGGTTAGGGCATAACTTCATTCCGATTTTCTTTATTTTAGTTCTATTACGAGTTCGGGGACTGTCTGTGTCAGCCAAATGAATATTCTCCCAGCTCATGGGCTCTCGTCCCTTTACACAACTTGACGTAAAGTAGATGAACAAAATTTGTTTCCTCCATATTGGTACACATTCTTCTGGAATGGTGAAAAATGACCCATAGGAACATGTCCGAAAATGCCTCTAGCGAAGAGGCCTTTATAAATGTCAGTGGAGACAATATACTCATCCCTACAATAGATGTTCCAAACGGTTGCCACATATTATCATGTTGTGGCATATGAACTTAATAACCAATAAATCATGAGAAAATGAATCACTACCTAAGTATATAAATCAGGAATAAGTTCTACGTGCACTGTCCACCTACACAAAAAATAACAGGTAAATACCCATGTAAATTACTATGAATAATATTCAATAATTCATCACTGACATTTACACTAAATATACCACACAAAGTTTCACAAAAACAATTTCAGAATTTCGACGAAAAGCATACTCTGTCTTTCTAATTACATGCCAATACATAATACATTGCCATAATTCCTATTATAGTTTCAGTAAATTTTAGCAATTCTAAGGTCATATGTAACCTTACTCAAAGATCCTTCATTTCTAAGTGAGTACCGTATGTTATCTTGCTTTGAGAAAATTTTCCTAAAGTAAACACTAATAAAACTAGAATGAAATAAAATCTGAAATTCTATTCCAGTTACTGCTAATACAAAATAAATTGAATAATATGGGAGAGGTTAATTGCCAACAAACAATGCCGTCATGTTATAAAAATCTACAATGAACAATAAAAGTGTAAACAAAAATAAAAATCGACATTTATCAAATATTTCAAAGCTAATCAAACTTTATTTGTCATTTGACTGAGGTAAGGCAAATAATGAGGGATCGTATATTCGATACAGGTGATATTAATTACACGAAACGAGAAATGTAGCCATCTCATAAAAATCAATTCTCCAATGAACAATACCGGTATCTTAGTGTGAACAAATAATAATAAAAAATGGTAAATCCCCCAATCTAAATATAGACCACTTGTCAAAGCTATCAAAATTTACGAAAATTTTTAGTTGTCATTCAATCGGGGTAAAGTTAATAAATATGGAGTGTATATTCAATATTGATATTTAGTTGGTAGTTTCAATGTTCGTCAATCAGCACGATTGTTCTATTAGTAAAAATTAGACAAGACATAGTAGAGATTTCAAATCTTCGATGTATCAGTTTTAAATAGTATTAGGTAAGAGAGACCTTGCAGTGAAAGGATGTGTTCAGAAGTATGTGTACCAATATGGAGGTAACTAATTATGTTCGCCTACTTTACATCAAGTTGTGTAAGGGAAATGAAACATATTATGGGCAAGAGGTATATTCACTTGGCTAACACAGAAAGTCCCCGTAATAGAACTAAAATAGGGAAAATCAGAATAAAATTATGGCCCAACCCTAACCTGGTACACATACTACAGGAGTACTGAAAGAATTTATGTGAATTTTATGTCGAAAATTGACTTATCTTTCTACCATTCATAGGCAGGAAGTTTTGAATTTCAACCACTATTGGATAACCTTAGAATGTCAGTTGTCGCTTATTATTTTTCATAGCTCTTTCCACATTTAGTAACTTTGAACTTACCGTAAATAAAATAAATGTTATAGATTACCAACCTTGAATTTTGAAGATTTTCACATCCTGGATGATGCCATCTTGGGTTTGTTGGAGGACGAGAAACTACATCTTCGATGTGAACTTGGAGAGAGCAACTGAAAAAAATAGATAAATTTAAAATCATTTTAGCATTTTTTTTTACACATTAGTGCTGGTCATGAATTGATATTTGTTTGATTTGATCTTGCCCGCCCTATTAATTTTTATTTACTTCATTATTTACGTTCCATCCACATATTTTTAACATGCTTTTTGAATAAAACATACTTTCACCTTAAGATCTGTTATTTGTAGCTTGTTATTAACTAGTTATTTTTGACGTGGGGCGCGAGACTTGACAAATTCTAAAAAGGGGGCGCAGCTCAAAAAGTTTGAGAACCATTTAGAATAAAGAGCTATGTGTATGCTTCAGCTGGTGCATAACTAGCTACTTACTCTTTTTGTGAGGCCGTAAGACAGGGTGCTCGCTAGAGAAACTAAAAATTTGTCAAATATCCCAACAAAGAATAACTTCAAAGTTTTTTGAAGGCATATCTTTTATTAAACTCATAGATGCTCAGGATGTCTGTGCACTTGAGAGCATTGTGCCCCTAGTAAAACCTAAAAGATATCAAATCAACCCAAACCTCAAAAAAAAGAAAAAAAAAGTACGGTAGCCTATCTAAAAAGAAATGAGTTTGCACACATTTTACTCGCGGCCTGATATGACCTTTAAATTTTCTGCTTTTTTAGCGACCACCCTGTATTTTTAGTTCAACATTACTCACCCGATTTATTGCATCCTGGGTGAGATAGGGGTAGTGGTTATAACTTGGTGACACATATTTTAATTTTTGATAAAACAATCTACTGATAAACTATTACAAACCTGTAACAAGCTAATGTATTGTCGAAAATAACGTAGAATCCAGCTCTAGCGAATTCTTCCCAGGAATACCAAGAGTTTATCCTCAGTCCTTGAAATGTTTGAAGACGTGACAGATAATCTGAATATAGAATATTGAAATTGAATGGGAAATACAATACTTTTCTTAAATGCTTATCACTGCCCGCTCGCAAATTTTCTATCAAGACTCTCTTCTATTTTTAGTTGATAGCTTGGGAACCTGCCGTGAGGAAAATCTAGTATAAAAAGTTGGAAGCAAAAAATATCCCATGAGTTACAAGTTACAAGTGTACAACAGCCTACAGGTGAGCGTTTTTGAATATTTATTTTTATTACTCTTGATTGGTTCAATTTGGACAAAAACAATAAATTTGGAAAATGAAAGTAATTTTTGCTGATAGATAATTTGAATTGATTGATTCAGCCAGTCTCTATGATTTGTACACATTTTAAAAACAAAATTTTTGGGCAATGTGGGTTAACTCAAAATAACTATAACATGTCACAAGAAAATTGATATATGAGATGTATGAAGCCTATCTATCATTATTAAATACAATTAATTTAGATTGAAAACTCCTAAGATGAGTTAGTTAAAAAATCAAATACCGTCTGAGTTGAAAGTTGCAGTGCCCTCTGGAGGAATCGTATTCAAACATTCGGAGAGTTCTTCGTGTTTGAACGACCATTCAAAAATGCTTTGTGACTCATAATTTTCTTTCTTTTTGTAAAATTGGAATTCATCTTCTAAAAATGCTTCAGATTTTTGATATGGCTTTTCTTTGTGGCAAATTAAAAGGTCGCACCAATGTTCCAACTCATTTTCAAAAGCCTTGTTTGGTCGGAAAGGTTCAGTTTCAATCTCTTCTTCAGTTTGGCTTTTCTTGGCGATACTACTTTCTTTTTCTGGATGTTTATTATTGCTTGTAACCTCACTGACCTCACAACATGGAGATGGAGGTTTTGGGTTTTCAGTAACTTTTGTTTGAGTAGATTTATTCCTGAATTCATGCTCGATTTTAATTTCGTTGTCCAAACCAAATTCTTTTTCTTTTTCAGGTTCTGTTTCTTCAACATTAGGTATTGTTCCACAGATTTTTGAATTACAAGCTGAAATTTTCTTTTTAGAGAAGGTAGATCGGAAAGATGGCCGATTAGGTCTGACAACATGTTTGAAGGGTTCCCAAATCCAGTTATCCGTTGTAGAATCGTTGGCATCTTTGTTCTTCAGATATAAATTACTCAAGATATTTTTCTTCTTTTTCTCTATATCTTTATTGTAATTTTCTTGGCCCTTTTCGTAATTACATTCTTCCGATTTTATGAAATTATTGATAACAATATTGTCATTATGAATTATTGTATTACTGTTGACCAGATGGCCCATCTGGCAACAGTGAGATTGAAATACTGTCGATGTTTCACGGTTGAATGAGCTCGCTGCTGTTGCGTCATTATTACAGCCTGAGATTCCAGATTCAGCCTGTTTTTGACGATTCATCCAACATTCTGTGTGGACAGAATTTTGTGTTCTGATTTGATCAGAAACTTCATTTTCCATGGGTATAATGTTGATGTCTTTTTCGTGATCAACATATTCCTTTCGATTGATTCGCGACTTTGAACTTGTAGGGAGTGTTTCAATGTTTCGCTCCTTTCCATTTTTCTCACTGGAACATCTATTCTTTCGTTCACTTCTTTTGTTAGAATCTTTTGGTTGAAAATCGCAGTGACAATGTGTTACTTCATTTTGCATGCATGGTAAACAAAACATTAACAGAGTCGCAAAATAAAGAAACCCATAGACAGTCGAAGAATTTTCAGATGAATGCAGTGGTGTCTTAATTTCTTTTTCATCTCCCAACTCATTTGTAGTTGTTGTCACTGTTTTTGTGAAGGACTTTTCGATTTTGTTTTTAAAACTCGATACAAATCGAAATCCTCCATGACAAAATTGTATCAGATTTGCTAAAACCAAAGTATTAAACGCTCGAAATAAAGACCTATGTGTTTCGTCATCATATGAAAGACATGACACACTTTTCGATTGATTCTCAAATTGGATTTTCTTTTTTTCTCTTCTCGATTGGCCATCAGGATACAAAGTAAATGCTCTATTCGTTCCATCGTTTATTTCGTGCATCATAGACGCATCCTGCACCTCTAGACCATGGTTCATCTGTTTCTTGGAAAAATAAAAATCTATTTTGCTTATCTCAGCCCGCAGATCTTTTTCATATATATTAAGAAAAATAGGCTCTTCTGACATCTCCAAAACATCTTTTTCATGTAAAAAGGTATCATCATCAGTGAAGCTGTTTAAGGAAGAAGGATTTGAGGCATTTAATTCCTCGATTTCTATATCGTAATCCGTTTGAACTTCGGGGGATTCATTGATTGGCTCTTTACTAGGATTTGAGACATTTATTTCAATTTTGGTATCGTAATCCGTTTGAACTTTGGGGAATTCATTGATTGGCTCATCAGTAAGAGGTGAAAGGTCATCTTCTATCTTGTCAGCTTGTAATTCAGCATTTTCAGTCTCTTGGTTCGTGAAAAAGTGTACTACTTGTGCAAACAGTCTCCAGATGAAATAAGATCCTGTTTTCTTCTTCCTATTAGTTTGAGAATCTCTTTCACTTTCTGCATCACTTTCTCCCGATGCATCTGGTTCATCACTTTCAAAATCGTTAATCTCAGATTTCAAACATGTTGCACTGATTCTTACATCTTTTGGACATTCAAATTTGTCTAACTTTGAGGGGCTTGACCATGAAAATTGAGATTTGGGACAGGTTTTTGCTGAGTTTGTATCTGTAGAAAATGTACGACATCTTGCACTTCGAGGATATCTTCGTTTTTGAGTTGCTTCATGAATAATACAATGGTTTTGAAACTCATCCTGATGCGACGAAGCATCACTATCCTGGTCACTTTCTGGAGAAGTGACTATCGGAGAATCTGACATTTTTACTCTCTCTAGACAAATTCGTAAATGTGAGCATCACAGCACTTACATAATGTATCACTAATATATATAGTATACAAATTAATATCAGATTTCGGAGTTTGGTAATCTGTATAAATTAGAAAAACATGGTAATATTGGTGGACACCATCATACGCTTGTACAGGTCATTCTTTGTAATGGAAAAAACAAGTTTCGGAGGTTTAAGTCTGCCCTAGGCATATAGAACGGCTGTTTACAACACACATTTTTCGACTATTTCTACTGTTCTATTCCTCACAAAAATTAATTTTTAGTTTGCACCACACATATTTAACCTCTTTCTAACTTAGATTGTTTGCTTTTGCATACATCACTTGGCGGCAACTGATTCAAAACATAGAAACATCTTGCTTTATAGCCTACCTACGCTACATGGAAACCAAATGACAATGAACCATTGGCTGATTGGTGAATTACTCAGGCTCAGCTTACTCAGATACGATACCGCGTCTAGTGGAGTAAACGCGGTGACTGCTCAAATAACACCCAACAAAAATGTGATAGAAAATTTGAATGTAAAAAGATCGAAATTACACCCGTATAGTCTTAAAACGTCGCCGTCTAAAATGCGAAAAGATGGACAACTCATCTGTTCCTTTGCGAGTCAAGTTGTCTGCTCCCCGTTTGTTCCATACATTTTAGCATATTGTATTCGAGCAAGACGGACTTTTATTTTTAGAAAAAAATCAAAAATTGGGGTTGCATTTCCACATAACATTTTTTTTGCATTATTTAAACACTTACAGCATTTATTTTCACACCATTGGGGCATTGGGGCTATTTAAGCAGTTATGGTGTTTGCTTCACGAGACCGGTACGTCACAGTGACATATTTTTTGGATTCCGTAGTCTGGTGGGGATTAGGAATAATATGCAAAATGTTGAGAATCGAATACGCTCGCCACCACTCGCTCGGGATGAACATGTAAAATCCTATCCTATCCAAAATTGTTGCGCCATAAACTACACCAGATCTGCACCAGGCGCGGCGGTGTGGCTCAACGGGCTAAGCGTTAGGAATACGCTCGCCACCGCACCTCTAATCACTCTGCATGGGTTCGCAGGTTCGAATCCCATGCAGGGATGGTTATGTGCGAGAGGATTGCTGGACTCCTCGCCGTCGTTGGGTGGTTCACGTAACCGCTGGTCGGTTACGGCTTCCTCCACCACCAAGTCCATGCTTCCGAAAAAAAAAAAAAATACAGGAAAAACTAATCCCATACCCGACTTGGAATGGTAACCGGACGAGAGGCCGTGGTTCGCCATATGGATAAGCCGTCTTATCGGCTTTCCTCTCCCCCGGGATAAATATGTAAATCCTATCCTATCTTCAAAGTAAGGTTGTACTGTTATACTTTACACAGACGCACCGTCAGCCTTTTTGTGCGGAAATAGAAAGAGGAAGTATAGCAGGATGACGACAGCTGTTACAAATGATTTGATTGGTCAATCAGTGTCACGTGGTAAAGATTCTCCAAGGGAAATCCCCAGGTATCTTAGGGAGGGTGATGATAAAAGTAGATCAAACTGAGAAGAGGGAGGAAGAGATAATTTATTTTTTTCCTCAAACCTGAAAACACATAAAATATATATGATAGCGAAATGAGTAAATTATTTTTTTGGTAGAGGACGATACGACCATTCCCAGTCATCTGAGTCAGTTATACCACGTGGCGTGGCTTAACTCCCGGGAGAGTTAGAATCTTTCTTCAAGGAAAATGTCAAGTATGAATATTGCTTGGTAGACTACCGGTACTGTTGCATGGATCTTTGCTCGAAATTTTATTCACCAGTTATTTGTGGTCCTGTTATGAAAGCTTCACCCAACATGATTTTCAATACATTTCATGGAGACTTTTCCCAAGGGAGGACGCCGTGGGATATAAACTTCTCTTATTAGGGAAAACTCAAAATTGATACTCGAAGCATGGCAACTGAAGGAATAAAATTTCCCTGGGAGAAACAAGGACAGTTGAAGTACAAGAAAACATTCTACACATTTCAGAATATCGTTTTTATATTATCTCGGTTAAATAAATTAACACAATATCAACCCGTTCAAATGGCATAGAAAACAAGAGAGCTACGCACAAATATATGGACACGTTAGACCAGAGCGAATCAGTCTTTACCGGTACCTTTGACGCTACCGGTACCCTCAAAAAAGTTCTGAATTTTCAGTAGCAAGAATTTTGCAGAATCAAAACGTACAGCCAGTCATGACACTGACTAAAATCCGTGTTCCCATGGATAAAAAATAATACAGCAAAATTTTAGACGAAATATCAAATTTCATAGAATTCACGCAAAATTTTGAAATAAATAAAAGTAATAGCCTTCTAGCGAGAAATTAATCTTTAACCACTGAAAATTTCAAAGCAATTGGTCCAGTATTCGAAGAGAAAAGCGATTTTTTAAAAACGTGTCAAAGAACAACAACAACAAGAGAGCTACGCACAAATATATGGACACGTTAGACCAGAGCAAAGTGACTATAACCCAGTCACTTTGGACCAGAGCGAATCTGTCTTTACCGGTACCTTTGACGCTACCGGTACCCTCAAAAAAGTTCTGAATTTCCAGTAGCAAGAATTTTGCAGAATCAAAACGTACAGCCAGTCATGACACTGACTAAAATCCGTGTTCCCATGGATAAAAAATAATACAGCAAAATTTTAGACGAAATATCAAATTTTTATAGAATTCACGCAAAATTTTGAAATGAATAAAATTAATAGCCTTCTAGCGAAGAAATTAATCTTTAACCACTGAAAATTTAAAAGCAATTGGTCCAGTATTCGAAGAGAAAAGCGATTTTTTAAAAACGTGTCAAAGAACAAGAACAACAACATAATATTGAAACGATCGTTATGGCCACTAAACGTGTCCAACAACAACATAATATTGAAACGATCGTTATGGCCACTAAACGTGTCCAAAAATGATAAGTTCTTGTAGGATTCTGCAAAATGCGGATAAATTCATTATCTCAGATAGACACCATAGGTCAAAAGAGCTTGCTTCAGTGAGCGAATATCATACATTACACTCATGATTTTGAAGAAAATACAGGATGATAAGTCCCATAATCCATTAAAAAAATCGAATCAAATTTAAATTTTTAAAATCAAATTCAGAAAACGTACGAAATTATATCAAAAAAAATTATCGAGAATGATTTATTAGGTTTCAATCTTGCATCATGCGGAATTTCATCACCCAAAGGGGCATGGCAAAGTTTCACAGCCAATCCACTTTTTTCGGCTAGGTCGTCAGTTTTCGGGGAGCGCAACAATATGGTCAAATGTTAGATGTGCAATATATAGGTGATCACGTCTGACATACTCCTTGCTAGGATAGGGATCGACAATTGAAGCGATATGAATAACTTGTACAAAGTTTTTGAAATCACAGCCATATCCCGGTTGTTACGAAAATATTTATATTATGAATCGGCTTCAAAATGGCGTTATATCAATACACATTCCGAAGGTTTTTGGGGCTGAGTTTATTTTACTTTTCATAGTACGACTATGTTGGACACGTATGTGGACCTATGGATCGTTTTAATATTATGTTGTTGTTGTTCTTGTTCTTATTCCTGTTGTTCTTTTCTCTTTGATTACTGGACTTGCTGAATTGCTTTGAAATTTTCAGTTCTTGAAGATTGTATTTTTCGCTAAAAGGTTATTACTTTTATTTATCTCAAATATTCCGGTGAGCTGCAAGAGATTCGTTTTTGTGTGTGCTATGAGTCTATGACGTCATCAAAATTTGCCACTATGTGGCGCTACGTGTCCATATATTTGAGCATAGCTCTCTTGTTTATTATCTTTTCGTCTATTTCCATAAACTTGAGACAGCTCAAACATTGACAAAAGTGTAAATATTTGAAACTTAACTCGAAAATTTGGTATGTAGAATAATATAGGATATAGTTTGTCATTAAACACGAAATAAGAAAACGAGCTTATTAACGCTAGTGGCGATCGACACATCTTATTTCCCCGCGTTATGAGTAAGACCTGACAAGTCGTTTTATGTCATAAGAGAATTGGATAGGCACGCAAGTGACGATCTTGATCTAAATATGACCAAAAGTTAACTAAAATAGTTGCGGTGCAATATGAGAAAAGGTCTGTAGTCCTGGTAATTCCCCCGGTACGAAGTTCCTAAATTGAAGAAATTGGTCAATTCGGTTTCCTTATTGCAGAGGTGGGCAAATTACGGAGGATCCGCCCACCGAAAGGTCATCCGACCCACTTGTGTCTGCCGAAATTACGTTATAGTTTTTATGGATACAAATTTACGTTGAAAATATCGATGAAAATAAAGTCATGATGCCCCCGATTGTTACACTGTGCTTCTTATCATTCAAGAAATGTTAGCCTAAATGTTGGGCTAGCTGTTGTAAATATAGTGTTTCTATTCATAGTTCTTCTTATCAAGTTTGGAGCCCCCGGCCCAATAATCGAGTCTATTATCTCTGGCGGGCCCAATCAGAAAAGTAATTGCCCACCTCTTCTTATTGGTTAGATGTTTACAGCTTTTACAATATTTGAAGTAGTGTTATGGCCGGGTATCCAGATTGACATCGCGCTAACTACTATTGAAAGGAGTCGCAAAGGTACTCAAACTAAGTTATAGAGTAAAAGTAGGGTCGTTTAAATTTTAAAAAAAAATAAGTAGTACACGCACATCATGCCGGTTTATACCGGCACAAAGAAAACAAAGTTTCCTAATATAATATGTGTCTTGTGCAAAGGCACCCAAATCATTCACCCTACAAAAATACAGCAAATCTTCCTCAAAATTTACCAAAATGAAATTGTTATAAAATCGGAACTCATATTCGGCAATGCTCATTTAGCTGAGACTTTCTCATCTATTCTCATACATACTTCTTATACTATTGTGAAAATAAAATTACTGTGTGAAACGATAAACTCTAATTTTATTCGACACGTAAGTGGACTTATGGATCGTTTTAATATAATGTTGTTGTTCTTTGTCACAGAAAAAAACGCTTTTCTCTTTGTTTAATCGACCAATTGCTTTGAAATTTTCAGTGCTTAAAGAT